CAATTTCAGTTTAACCATGCAAAAATATAATGCAAGAAATTTAAACCTACAGGTATCTTGCGTAACTAGTAGTAGCTAATTGATCCCAATTGATCCTAATTGTTCAGAATACAGATAGTGTCTTTGACCATATTCTGCTCCATTACCAAACCAATAAATCTATCCGTTACATCATGTTTATCAGGTCTCCGATAAAGGAAACTTCTTTGAGATCTGACAAGAATAGGGTAGGAGATGAAAATGGTGTTGTAGTTGTACTTTTTTTAAGATGTGAAGCTTCCATTGCACAAGTAACATACAGTTTCAGAGCTTGTCACACTTAAATATCCTGTTTTGAACTGGAAAACCTCACACAAACTCTTGAAAAATGCCATGTCTGCATTGTTCTAGTATCCTGTTGCAGTTGTTTGGAGAAAGAATGCTCCCCTTAATGATTCATCTTTTGATGATAAACAATCCACAAATGTGCAGTGGCTGTTTGCTTTGTCAAGGAGAGGTCCTTACTCTCTCAGCCACCCCCTGGTGTTGATGCTGCTCTGGCGCTCTGTCTGTCCAGTGTAGGAGGCTGGATAGCAGGAGTCATGTAGTGGAATCAGAAGATCTGTGAGGTTCTTGTTGGGACTGCAGGATCCACTGTATTTAGAGATACAATGGATCACAGTGCTCAACCTTATATTGATACTGTATTCATTCAGTTCACTCATTCTTCAGTTGGCTGATTTAATTTATGGTTTTGATATTATTCTTTGGCAGCTTTATATTTGAGTGGAATATTGCCGAACACTGCCATCATATCTACAGTAGGTAAAAATAACATTTATATTCAAAATAAGAAGATTGTATGTTCCATAAAACTGTAAAAATAAATGCTATAGACCACAAACAACTGTTGGAATTCTACAGAAGTTGTTGTCCAGTACTAAATCTTATAGAAAATATTTTTTAACCCTGAAACTAAATGTGCATTCTCTTCTACCAGAAGTTTTATTCTAGCAACTACAGAAAAACTTATAAACTACTGCCTTGTACTAAAGTGAAAAGAAAATGCATATACTGTAATTTTAATGTACACTATATGAATACAAAAGAAGCACAGCTAGATCATTATCTGCATGTAAGCAAGGAACTACAGAAAAATTATACTTATACTTAATTGCCATAATTGAAATTGTAGCACTACAGTAAACGTCAGAAAACTAAATTACCTGTACATAGTGTACATGGACATCTATATTAAAGTGCTGTTGACCGTTTTAAGGTCACACCTATGGTTGATGAGAAAATACATTTAGTATATTATGTAATAAATGCTTTGTTTTTTCAATCAGGTACCAATGAGTTAAATATACTGAAAATCCCTGGTCTCGCCACGGGCAAGAGTGAGAGTTCCCACAAATTGTGATGTGGTATGGCCCTTTCTGCTCGCAAGTCACTGTAATGAGTAATGTAATGTGGTGTATGAGCCAATTAGTAAAGATTGTGCAGCAGACATGTCACTGCAAAAATGGTCTTACATGATCTGCATAATGTAAGATGCAAAACCATCTTGAAGTTGAGAGCAATATTTCTGTAGGATTAAAAAAGATGTATTCACAAGCCTGCACAGAACATGGACTGCACATACCTGGAAATTGTATCTATTTTGCAATGCGAATTGGAGATGTTATGTACATTTTACTTTTATTGTGATTTAAAATGCAATCATCAATGCCGATTCTTTCAAACTCTGAAATGTAAAGCGTTGCAGTTCCCCTTTAAAATTTTTATATTTACCTCTTTTGCAAAAGTGTGAAGTCACTCTTCTGCAGCTATAGCATGCTTTGGTTGCATTATTCCCAGCATCACAGCCTGAGCATTACAACATATTGCTAGGAAATGCTCACAGCAGGATCAGAGTTTTCAAAAAGCCAAGTTAATAGCCTGTCATGGCCACATAGACACACCAGATTTTCAAAACAATTCAAAAACACTGCCATACTTTCTTTCAAATTGCAATTCATATTTATGCAGACTTTATTAACATGACAGAATAGCCAAGGAGTCAGGTTACAGAATATACAGTAGTCACCCTCTTGCATGAAGTTGCAGTCTGGGTTATGTGGTATGCGATATTTATGAAGAATGTAAAAAGGTTACAAATGAAAGCCATTCTGTCATTCTAGCTGTACTAGTAGATATTGTTTTCTGAGGATTTCTACCAGCTATTTTGTGAAGGCAGTCAGTATGTCAGGTTCAATAACATGGATGAGCAGCTTGCTCCATACTCCCACAACTCTTAGGCTAAAGAGGTGCCCCCTCTTCTTGGTTTTAAATGCACTTTCACATGTTTATTCTGATGTCCAGAATAAATGTCCACTGGGCTGCGTTTATCAACACCCTTATGGTTTTTTAACTATCTGAACCAGGACCCCTAAGATGCAGGTTTTTCTGTTTTAAGACTACTGTAGGTCCAGCTCATTTAGCCTGTCAGTGTAGGATTCCTTTAATCTCAGGGTTAAGTTAAGTGTTATTTTCCTAGCTGTGTATGGCTCTTTTGGTCTCCTAGACTAGAAGAAACCTACTAAACCAAAGTCAGTATTTTAATAACACATTCTTGCAGTGAATTATTGATATTAATTCCAAAGCATCTCAAAGTACTTTCTGTATATGGGACCCACTTCACCCATCGCTGAAGTGCAGCCCCACCTGGGTGAAATGCAGCAGTTCCACTTCACAGCAGGTAAAGAGGACCATCAGGATGACATTTAAGTGAGTCCGAATTAGGCAAAGCTAGGGTGCAACTTATCTAGGACATGGGGGTTTAAATAAATATTAATAATGAACTTTATTTTATATAGCACCTTTAAAGGTGACTTCTCAAAGCGCTTTACAGAACAATAACAACAATGAAAAAAATGCAATATATGCACAATGAGAATACACAATGGGAGGACAGAGAAGATGGGGGTATTGAATACAGTAAGAGCAGAGGGGTAAAGAACAGAATTAGTTACTGTAAGTAAAGGCTCTTCTAAAGAAGAAGGTTTTGAGTCTAGATTTGAAGGATTTTAGAGAGGGTGACTCTCTGATATCCTTGGGGAGAGTTCTAGAGCTTTGGGGCATAAGAGAAGGCCCTGTCACTCAAAGAATGTAGATGGGCTTGGGGGACAGTAAGGAAAGCAGAATTAGAAGAGCGAAGGTTGCGAGGTGGGGAGTAGGATAATAGTAGCTCAGACAGGTACTGAGGTGCCAAGCAAAGCAGAGCCTTGGAGGATTTTGAAGTCGACACGAAACTTGACAAGAAGCCAGTCCAAGGACTCCAGGATGGCACTTATGTGATCACTTGCACTAGACCTGGTCAGGATTCTGGTTGCCCAATTTTGGACATACTGGAGTTTGTTTAATGTGGATTTAAAAACATCAGCGAATAGAGCGTTACAGTAGTCAGTTCGGGAGAAGACAAATGTGTCGATCAGCTTTTCAGCCACAGTTAGTGATAACATAGTACGCAGTCTGGTGATATTGCTGAGGTGAAAAAAATATGTTTTAACAATATGTTGCACATGTGGGTCGAATGTCAAGCCTGAGTCAAATATCATCCCCAAGTTTTTCAATTTGGACTGAAGTTCAAGTACAGTACCATCCAATGATAGAGTTACAGCCTTGGCTTTACAAAGTTGAGGGGAATGCTGATAAGAATGACATCAGTGTTATCAAAGTTTAGATTAAGGAAATTGTGAGTCATCCATATTTTGATGTCGGAGTTGCAATTTAGTAGAATAGAGACAGCCACATCAGTGTCAGGTTTGGTATGGATGTATAATTTGAGTATCATCAGCATAGAATTGATATGCCATGAGATTTTAACAGCTGACCAAGCTGAAACATGGAAATGCTGAAAAGTAGGGGGGCCAGTATCGAGCCCTGAGGAACACCAGATGTAACAAGTCCAATTTAATCTAAATCCACCAAGACAGACAAAGTGACAGAGATCAGGGAGGTACTGTAAAATTTGAATCATTTGAGAGCATTGTCAGAAACCCCAAACACACTCTCAAGATGAGAAAGTAAGATATCATGGTTAACAGCAGGACTGAGAACGAGAAGAATGAGGAAAGAAAGAGAACCAGAATTGGAAGCTGTTAGAAGATCGTTAGTGATTTTGACCAGGGCAGTTTCTGTGTTGTGACGTTGTCGGAAACCAGATTGGAGGGGTTCGAAAAGGTTGTTTGTCATGAGGTGGTTACTTAACTGAAGTGTGACAGCACGTTCTAGAATTTTTGCAAGAAA